CATATCCTTTCAAGTTGTCTCGACGTTTGCTTTATTTTGCAGGTTTCGGCATTATGCCATGGAGCTAATCTATGTTGTTTTATTTTCTTCTTTTTCAAAGGAGCAACAGAGTCTAATTTTATTCGCAGCGCATCTATAGCACTATCAACAACATGATCAATTTGGGGTGGTGTACATTTTGTAAAAGTTTCCTCCCCTACATGCAGACATGCTATCGAGTTAAGTATTGGTGGAATCTCTTCCTTAAATTTGGCTATAGCACTAACAGATAGGTTTCTGCTGCAGGAGCTTTTGACTAATGCTTTGTAGTCTAGTAACAGTACTTCAAAAGTTACTAAGAAATGGTCGGATAAAGCAGGATTATGCGGTTCGACTAATAGTTGCTCAATTTCAATACCATAAATCAGAACAAGGTCGAGAGTGTGATTATAGCAGTGGGTTGGTTTATTTACACTCTGACAGAAACCAACATAATCTAATATAGAGTTAAATGCAACAGTAAGGCTATTTTTATCATCGTCAACATGAATATTAAAGTCACCTACGATAATTATCTGTTTTAAGTACCAACGTTGATAAAACCTCAGAGAATTCTGATAAGAATTCTGAATAAGGACCTGGTGCACGGTACACTGTAACAAATAAGATTGGCTGCAAAGTTTTCCAGGTCGGATGCGTAAGACTAAAAACGAGAATACCAGTAACTGTATTGCATTGTTTTCTTATACGCAATTACTTCATACTGTCTAGTTCTCTTTTTCGTCCTGCATTTATTGTGCCCCCCCAGTCAAATTGGTCTATATACGCCGGGATCCGGAGTCATGGATGATCCTGCGGTCCTGTGTCCTGGATCGCGAGCCCTGGATCTTGAGTCGTGGCTGTGGTCTTGGATCATAAGTCCTGGATGGATATCCCCGTAGATTCATCTTCTTATTATAGACACATGCATTTCCAAATATTTTGACTACCTATGTTGCAAATGTATTATCTTTTCAATTTACACACGGCATCTATTGCACGTCTGTCCGCCCTGGGAGAGGGATCCCTCCTCTGTTGCTCTCCCTGAGGTTTCTCCCATTTTTCCCTTTAAACTGTGGGTTTTCTCCGGAAGTTTTTCCTTGTACGATGTGAGGGTCTAAGGACAGAGGGTGTCGTATTGTCATACTGATATTCTGTACACACTGTGAAGACCACTGAGACAAATCTAACATTTGTGATATTGGGCTATATAAATAAACATTGATTGATTGATTGACAGTAGCAGTATGTTATCGACCTTGATCTGTGCTTGTTAATCAGCTTTACACAAACATTCACACAGATAGACAGAAACACACATACACAAATACCATCTTCCTTTTACACAATACACAGCAAGGAAGTATCAAAATAAGGGTGTGGAGTAACAGAGGAACACTACAGGAGGGAAAAGAAAAATAAATTGTCACAAGGGAGTGAAACGTTGCCCCTTGAAGTTCATTAACAGACAGTAACCCAGTTTTGGCTCTTTTTTTAAGCACAGCTGTTTTGTGGAGCAGCGAGGATGAGTGGATTTCCTGCACAATTTATTTCTACTCAAGAAAAGTCAGCCTGAAACAGCTCCAACAGCAGCCACTGGTTAAACTCTCTACCTGACACAGATTAACGTCTTCACACCCCTCATAGAGGAGATAGACAGTGACCTATCTCCCCTTCATTGCCCATTCAGACTCAAAAACACCACCCCTCTGCCACGTATAAACGTTGATTTACTGCCCCTTGAGCTGCACTGTCTGTGGCAATTGATCAACCAGTGTTCCCAGTGCTAATTTAGTGCCCATGATCCGCTGTCATGAGGGAGCAGGGAGGAGGTATTGATTAACACACAGTTGTGCTAAGGGCGCTGCTGCAGCACCACTCCATGACAAGAGGTCTGATTAACTTCCCCGGCCCTAGAGCACCGCATTCACATTTATCCTGGCTCTGCTCTGGTTTACACTCTGCAGCTCAGTGCACTGACCACACTGAGACAGTAGATAGGGCCCAGTGCAGTCATCCGTTCTGAAAATATATGAACTGGTGGTGCTGGTAGGCAGTTTAAATGAAACCATTAACCCAAATCAATAAAACCCCCTTAGTGCATAGAAATGTCTTACTGTACGATTTCCAACAGGATTTATTAAAATCCAATACAACAACAGCAGCACATCCAAATGTAGTAATAAGTGTTTTTTTCTAACATTCACTCAGGTAAGAACACACGGCGAAATGTTATTCAGTCATTCTGAAATGTTGTATTCAATGTTGCATGCATTACAATAGAAATAAAAAACACAATCAAACCACTAGAACAGCATTAACAATTAAGCAATAAAGCATGGCTGGAGAGTTGCTGTAAACATGCCTTTACACATGTGTGTGTGCTGCTTAAATGATCCCTATGATGAAATATGTTGTCACCATTTAAAGCTGTACAAAGAATCATCAAATCATTTATTTAAGATGTACAATGTGACACAAGAGCAGAATAGATTGGTGTTGGTGTTGTTTTTGCTGTTCTACTGCCACCCAGTGACTCTGTGGGGTGATGCAGGGGACGCTGATATTTAGATATTAACACACCAGAGAAAGAAATAAGGCTTTTTATTGAACAAAATGTTAAGACACCATAAATCAGTGGAGCAACAACATACTAGAAATGAGATAACAAAAATTGCAAGAGAAATTAAACATATTTACTTGGAAAAACATTTGATTTTGGCAGAGATTTGTAGGATTTTGTTCAACAAACGTAAACACGAGAAAACAAACAAGCCCACCTTACAAATATAGTTTTATTGCATAAAGTATGATTAGCATGCTCACTGTTACATTGTGTGAGAACTTAAAACATACACATGTAACATATTAGCAAAACTGCCACAGCTGACCTCACTGATGGAGAGGATCAGTGAGGCCAACATTGTTAGCACATCACGAATGAAGGCAGCACCACTCCTTTTTTCAAAATTACCCACAACCACAGTATTTTCTTAACAAGATCCAAACCCTCTACTCTACATCTCATACAGCAGCAGAATGTACATACAACATCCTAAATACAGGTTTTGGTTTTTGTATTCAATATAGAACATCTAAACACAAAACTTCTTTCATTAAAGGCACTTAACATTAAGTTCCAAGATGCTTCTCTTGTAACATTTCCCAAACCGTATTAAGCATCTACATATATATCATTTCTACATGTTAGTTTCTTCCACAAATGTTAAAACAAATACATGTTGAGATGAAATATAACATTCGGCCCTCCGGATGAGGCTCTGTTTGATAAGCTACCTATTAAGACAGGAAAGGCCAAGAGCACAATGTAGGGCTCAACACTTTAGACAATCTCTTCTGGTTATTTCCAGTTGAGATAAGTAATCTACATTATATATTACCCAAAGCTTGCCCTTCCAACACTGACTAAACCCTTTTTATTCATTTGAACTAGCACAAACTGCGTTTAAACTATTCCTAGACAAACAGAGGAGGTCAATCATTTTAAAAAAAAAGAAAAAAGTTTGAGGTGAAAAAAACGATACTACTAATGAACTGTTTGTCTTCCCTCTCTGTCAGTGAATACCAGCAGCTTCTGGGCCGATACCATCTGGAACGCTGAATGGAAAGGACACGTTTCCTAAAGATTATCTACACTCATCAGCCCAATTCAGCTTTGTGAAAGCAGATCAAAGGCACCACTTTTAATCTCTAAAACTCTTGTGAGTTGCCTGCTACATGATACTTAAAAAAATGTCACACGCATGGCTGAAAAATAACATTAACCCATTTAGCAATCTGTAGACAAAATCCCAGGACAGATTCACTGTCCTTTGAGCTCAGTACTCATCAGTATAACATTAACCTGCTGAGTCTCCCTGAAGATTTACAGCAAACCGCATTGCACAAAGATAATATGAGTGCATTTGAGAGAAATTGCTATTTGTCTGGTTCTGTTTATGCTTTTGGTTTTTATTTAAACTGTGAGTTTCATTTTTTGTGAAGGCAGTTTAGGCACTTAGGCAATTAAAACACCTAGGCAAGGCAAGTTTATTTATGTAGCACCTTTCAACACAATTCAAAATGCTTTACAAAAATGAACGACACCTTGACATCTTGACAAGTGTCTTTATCTCCATCCCTTCAGGCTGGGATGCTATCTGTGTTCTAATTTAGGCTGGACAGGCCCGACAACCTGCTGCTGAAATGATAATGAAATGTCTTTAGTTGGAACTCTGGCTGGAGTTCCAACTAAAAGACATTCTTAAAGTTAAAATGTTTTCGAGCATGTACCAGCAGCTGGGACATTATGTAAATGTAGACACGGACACAACACGGACCACCTTTACACCGTGTTAAAGGGTAACAGTCCGTATACCCATTTACCTTTGCCTGTTATGTCTTGGGAATAACAGCACACGTTCAGCTGCCAACAGTGGAGAAGTTATGTCTAACTTTTATATTCAACAACATTGTTGCCAGGAAAAGGCTAGTCACTGTGACCTTTGTACCTGTGCTGGACTATGGTGATCTGGTCTATATGAATGCACCTGCCTATTGCCTGAACAAGTTAGATGCCACCTATCACAGCGCACTGAGATTTGTCACTAATTGTAAAGCACTTACACATTACCAGCGTTTCCCCTACCATTGTCTTGGATGGGCGCTGCGCCCCGCCAACGGAGCACCGCCAACGGAGCACCGCCAACGGAGCACCGCCAACGGAGCACCGCCAACGGAGCACCGCCAACGGAGCCCCGCCAACGGAGCCCCGCGCCCCCCCTGAAATTCAAGGTGTTTTAAAAAATTCAATTTTTTTTTTTTTTATTATTATTATTTTTTAAATATATATAGCACCACATTGCAACTAATCTATATCTACTGTCACCTTTCACATTGAACATGTGCTCTTTTATTAAATAAACTAAACACTTTCACTTTAAGTGTTTTTGACCCTAAGAAACACTGATGCATTAATCAATAACAATAACCCCCCCCCCCATTGTTTTATGTTTCATGTGCTGCAGGTCTCCCTTGAAAAATAGATCTATGATCTCAATGGGACCAATCTGGTTAAATAAAGGTTTGAAACAAAAATTGTTTTTGTATAGACTACTTCAGGTGCTGACCACCAAAACCAGAATACCTAGCCAATGCTCAACTTTCTCAACTTTTTAAGCAGATGAAGATTGCCTGAACCCTACATTTAACAACATAACAGCACAATGTGTTATGGATTTAAAGGCCACAAACATAACATGTAGGCCAAATAAGGCTTTATTTCCCAGCTTCAAACAGGGCTCTTTAAAAAGTTTAAATGCCTCTAAATGCCTCTATCATTGATACCTAGTAGACTCTTATTTACACATTGCTAGATAAAACATCACCACAACACAAACATACACTGGGCATTCTTTTTTGGGAGGGGGATGAAATAATAATTTAAGTGGCTATATTTGGTTGGAATGAACCCCTGTATAATCTTTACAGGGCAAACAATCACTCATACCTAAATTAAATAAAGTATTCTTTACTTGGTGTACAACATATCCAATCTCTTTAAAAATCTGTTTTCGTTCTCCCATCTGTAAAAGGTACAAAGGAGGCTCTTTGTGCTTTTTAAGTCAACAGCAGCTACAAATGTGCAAAAGGTACAGTAAAGTATCGGTCTTTTGGTAAAACAAATATGATTACATTGTAATGTTATGATATACAAAAAGATTGTGTATGAAAGTGTAAATATGCCATCACCAGAAGCCCTAACACAGTTTGTTTTGTATATACGCACAGATACGGTTGTATTTCTTGTCATGCCACTGAAGTCATCAGGTTTTCAGCCGCCGGGTTGTCTATGTTCTCTTTTTCCGGCAGGGCATAGTCAGCATCCAGGTCTAGTGTGGGAATCATAGCTGTTTTAACTCTCTGAGGGTGCAGAGAAAGCATTGTGTTAGAAACAAACCTTTCAGGAAATGTTTTTTAAGTACAAACGGAACAAAACAGTTTTTCTTATTTCTTATTTTCCCCAGCCCCGCTTTGCACAAAACACACTGATACCCATTTGTTAGCCCCTGTTGTGACTGTGAATGGCAATGTTTGTCTGTCGATCCATCACTTTGTTGGGGTCTTAATCTTATCAACTACTGGATAGATTGTAAAATATAAATATAAATATATGGTACAAACATGTGCTGAGGATGAATTGTTGTCATCACATTATTTAATGACACATTCCTTTGCATCTATGACATTCACATCCGCCTCGTCCAAATTTTCTTTGTTTTGTGTCACTTAACAGGTGAGCATGCTCAGATGGTAAGCTTCATACTTAAATCCACAGCACGTTAGCATTGTACATGAAGTTAGGCACTGCTGTGGGCCTTTAGAGTTTAACCTCACAGGCACAGGAGCCTTTAAAGAGCTAAACATAAGCTTCCTTCATTTGTCTGATAATGACTTTCACTTACCTGAAGAAATGAGCCTTTGTTGCTGCAAATCTCATGAATGGCTCCAATTGGGATCCACACAATGGAGACCAGAGAGACCCCCCAGCCCACCCCTTCAGCCCACTTCGGGTAGGTGTACGTCTCATAGTGAGCAGGAGTGTACTGGACAATGCTGGCGATCAGTATACACTATGAAGGGAAAAGGACAGTCTTAACAAATGTATTAAATAATCATCATTAATAATATTATTGCACAGATAATCTTCTTTAACCCTCACCAGCACCAATACCGGGGCAGAGCAGCCCCCAGCAGACACGAAAGTAGATGTTTGCAGTTTTTCCCAGCATCCTCGTGATCATCAAGCAGATACGTGGGACACCTGATGGGAGAGGCTGATTAAACACTTGAGAGAAAACCACTAATTCAGATTTCTTCCTGTTGTGAATATATGTAAGAATTCAGTTGAATAAATATCCAGCAAAAGCAGATTTTGGTGGCGTCTGCGTTTGACCAAATAACGCAATCTTACCAAAGATCCAGCAGACAGCGACAACTTCGAAGAAAGCCAAGAACACGAGGGAGACCACGGCCGTGTAGTGGTCCATCAGCTGAAACACGTAGATACCTCCCTGTGCAGGTAGGACAAGAGGAAGAGGAAGACAAACATGACCAAACCATACCACGACTAGGCTACCACACATCCTCAGATATGTTTCTCTGAGAAGTAAAGAGTTTAGCTGTCACAGACGGTACCTTGGTCACATGAGGAATCCCCAAGGCGAAGCCAACGATGCACACAGCCAGGGTCAGCAGCTCTTCTCTCTTTAAGAAACGCAGAACTTGGGGGCCAAACTCATCTTTTATGAACGTGATGGCTACCTCAGCTGTGGCGAACTGTGGCACACAAAAAAGCACAAACTGCGTTTTCAAATAGTAATGAAAATGACTGTCAAAAGTGGTTTCCTCTTGATTTGTTTTGGCTTTAAGTCATTCTAGCACTTGTTTTTAGGATGCAATTATGAGTCTGTGCAAAGACCTGTGTAACCACAAAAGAGATTAGTGCGAGAAAGGAATACAAATAATTGTTTAGCATATAAGGGCGAGAAGAAAAATATATCAATCACCTAAAGATTGCAGATTATACTTGAACCAATATATATATTGACCATTTTAAATACAAAATAAAGGTTAAAGGTGGGGTAGGTAAATTTGAGAAACCGGCTCGAGATACACTTTTTGTTATATTCCATGGAATGCTCTTAACATCCCGATAGCAATGAATATCTGAAGTGCTTTGACAAAAAATCCATTAAAACATTTCATCTGTGGAAGCCGTAGTGCTGTAAAAAGCACGACCAATCATCTGAGCCGGCCCGGCTAAAGTAACTGGATGGCCTACCTGCCTGTCAGCCTTCCATCTGTGTACAAACTTATCTCGTGCCCTCATTGGTCATGTGCGCATTCGTGTGTGTTGGAGGAGGGGCTCTGTAAGGAAGTGGCAGATTTTTTCCGGTTGTGTATTTTCAAATTCTAGCGCACTCGAGCTGGTTTCTCCAAAATTACCTACCCCACCTTTAAGTTAAATACACCTTCAAATTGTAAGTGATTATTGTTTTCCATGTCAATGGCCAAGAGGTGGACACAGTTGGGTTAACAGGCAGAGACAAATAGTCAACCTGAATGTGCACAGTTGTAGAAACCGGGAATACATCTTTTGTCATTTTTATGAAGACATGAGTTAAGTAACGTAAAACTGTTTTGCACTATTTCCCCATATCTGCCTGCTTCCTTAAAAACTAAAGTCGGGCCACTGTGTTTATATGAGTGTGTGAGAGATGCTCACCTGGCTGTCCAGGCCCAGACACAGCAGCATGAAGAAGAAGAGAGGAGCCCACAGCTGATGGACGGGCATCGTGGAGAGGACTTCAGGGTACACAACAAACACCAAGCCAGGACCTGAGACATCACACAGTACAGAAGTTGTTAGTAAGCCTAGATGCACATTTAAACAAATATACCCAAATTCAGGTTCATGAACCTGTGGTTAAACTTAAACTCAGCTATTTTCCAGTTACTGGTTGAAAGGACATGAGGAGTTAAAGAGCACCTTGGTGTACTATTTAATTAAAGGACAAGACCAAACAATACTTTTTTTTACACGCTCTGGTTATAAAAAATGAATGATGGTGTGAGTTACGGCTACTAAAGGAAGACAGAGTGCATAACCCTGTTTGACTTGTATAGCAAGTTGTACATTTATACAGGATGCAATGCCAGTGTTGTATCGTGATTGCAGGTTAAAATCCTTTACATGCATTGAAGAAGGTCCTAAACTCAAACACTAAAAGGATTTAGAGGCATTGCTTTTCTTAGGAGGAGGAATACAGAAAATGCATTGATTGGCCCACCCTGACTACACACACAAATGATATACTTTTAAGATTACTCTTTTGAAGAAATGTAACCGATGATCAGCAAAACATATTTACAGGAAGATCAGGTAGTCATTCAAGAGAGCAGTTTTACATTGTTTTGATGAACTCAGGCCCTGACTAAACCCCTCTGATGTTATCTGAAGAAGCAAAACAACCTCCCATTTTAGTCAGGGAGTTGTTTTAGTCAGTATGGGAAGGAGAATCTAGTTTTATTGTAAGAGTGAAATAAACAAGAAAGAGAATCAAATATCCTTACTTTTAGTCACTATTCTGGGTCAATCTCAATAACATTGGATATAGAATTCCCAAAATGCAGCCTTAAGATGTATTCATTACACACATCAAGTTTCTATTGCAGTACTTGCCATAATTGCATTATAGGAGTTGTTTTTATTAAAGACACTATACAACAGCCTGAGAAGTACTCCCAGACCTGAAGATGTGTAAAATGAGCTCCATAAGTAACATCAGTAGAGAACTGCTTTAAGAAATTGTAAACTTCCACTAATGGCGCATTTCCACTACAGCGCGGTTTAAGCGGCCCGGTATTGGTTGCGTTTCCACTAGGCTTAGTTCCGGCTAGCGGGTACTTTTTCACAGTTTTCTGGCTCTCCAAAATTGAGGTTCTTTCCGGGCCAACAACCGGGCTGAGTTGCTAAACTAGTGAGATAATTGCTGGCAACTACAACAAAATGAACATATTTTACCGTGATTTAATTGTAATGCACGTTTCAAAATGATGCCGAAAGTAACAACATACTGATACCGGTTAGTAAAAACCATGAATTAATTAACAAGTCTGCAGACAAGACGGCAGGTGAAAACCTTTTAAAATGCGTGTTTTCTAAATGGAGCTTGGCTAAGCTAACGCAGTATATGCTCCGACCGTCCACACTCACAACAACGGCCTATAGCCTACAGACATAAATAAACCAGCGACTGTATTCGCCATGACACAGGCAGTCTGTGGTTTGTACTTGTTTAACTTTTGTATAGTTTCTGAACAGATATGAGGAACTGTGAACTCTGAGGGCTAACAGCTAACGGCTGATGTTGTTTTTCTGTGGTTCGCATTGAAGATGACGTCACGGCTCCGCCTACACTGCGTTACTATAGTTACTACCCCAGTTCCTAAACTGTAATGGAAACGCAGCATAAATGTCCCTGAATGACCTTCCTACTTTAAATATGCACAGCAGATGTGCACTTCTTGAAATCTGTGGCTTGTTTCTCCGTGAAAGGGAGAGCAGAAAGGATCCCAGGAGGATGAAAGGAAAACAGAGGCTGGGATATATGTGTGTGTCCCTCTCTATTTATGTTGCACTCTGAAGTCTTAGTTACATTTAGTCCATGATAAAACAAAGCTTTAAAACTGCGGTGCCATTTTCTTTACGGGCTTTATGCTTACCATCTGTTGCTATGTTGTCCACCGGCAGGTTATGTATATGAGCCATGTAGCCAATAGCTGAGAAGATCACAAACCCAGCCAGGATACTAGTGAAGAAGTTGGTAAACGATACAATCAAAGCATCCCTGGGAAAGAAGGAGGACAAAATAAATAATGTAAGCGTGCTCGTGGTCATGTTTATTCTTGTTAAATGTCATTTAAATCATTCAGTTTTATTTTAAATACGCTCTCCTTTTCCAAAACTTTGCTTACTTCCATCGGCTACCAAGGTTAATTTCCCTGTCGCTCACTATCCTTCCCGCATGCTAAGTGTATTTAGTCCGTTTTCAGTCAGTCAAGTTGAAAAACACTACATTGTAATGAATATCCCACATCTTTTATAATGTCTCAACACCTAACATTACATGTATACTGTATGTCACTAAGTTCTTAAGTTGCTGCTCATCCTTATAAGCCATGGTTGTGCACTTACTGTACCTACACATTTGTCTTTATTTTTAGTATAGTACAACTAATGTGTGCTTTTCTTCTCAACATTTAATAAGTTAGTTTATTCTTTATTATTGCATGCCTTCTTTTTTTACCCGCTATGACACTTTTTGTTGTAACACTGTACATTTCCCCGCTGTTGGACAAATAAAGGATTTCTGATTCTGCCAGTTTCTCTGGTTACATATTGTCAAGCAGACAGCTCTTCTGGTGTTTCATTTGTTGTTTTTGTTCTGTACTTTCCTAGTTTCACCTCAATCTTGTCCTTGCCTGATGTTCAGTCATATCTTGCAATTGAGTCCTTGAGCCAGTTCAAATCCTCCAGTTTTAAGTCAGTACAGTTTACAGTAACTTAGAAACTCAGGAGGTTTGTGTGTTGGATTAACAAGCTCACTGTTTGGCAGGAAGTATTGTAAAAATCGAAGTGAAAACTAAAATTGTCTCAGCAGGTGTGTGTTTTTTTTATATCCCACAGAGAAGCTTTAGCCTTCATTTACAATATTCTTGTTTAATGAGACTCAGTATAGTACAGCCTCATTTCCTGTCATACTTTCTCAATGTCTCTCTGGTGAACTTTGTGGCTTGTAGTGAGTCTAGCACAGGGGTGGCCAACCAGTCAGAGGTTAAGAGCCACATTTTTTCTATGTTACTTCAAAGAGCCACATCAAACACACAGTCACTGATATCGCTTGTTTCAGTTTTTTGTTTTCTGGAGACAAGATTTCAACCACGTCACTGATGCATTTTTGTGGCATTGGGATATATATTTTTTAAATCCTCTGGAGCAGAGAGAGGAGCTGTGGATTATTGTTATTGATTAATGCATCAGTGTTTCTTATAGGGTCAAAAACACTAAACTCACAACTTAAAATGAAAGCGTTTAGTTTATTTAATAAAAGAGCACATGTTCAATGTGAAAAGTGACAGTAGTTATAGATTATTTGCAATTTGGTGTTATATATATATTTTTTTAAAAAAAATTATATATATATTTTTTTTTTAAACACCTTGAATTTCAGGGGGGGCGCGGGGCTCCGTTGGCGGGGCGCAGCGCCCCTCCAAGACAATGGTAGGGGAAACACTGGATAATGTTTAATCAACGATAGGTTTCCCCCCCCCCCCCTCAAAGGTGATTGGTTCACTGCATCGCAGGTATTATTGTGATTGGCTCTTGGGCCACATCAAAATTATACGCGCTGTCATCCTCTCATACTGACACACAACATACATAACACGGGACGAAAGTAACGGAGCGATTTTATCCGAGCCCAAACAACTTTGACCGGCCAAATTACGTCAGAATTATCAGCATTCAATACTTAACAGACCTACTAAATATCAGGTTTAACTGTCAGGAGTAGCTAGTGTTGTCACGATACCAACATTTTGGTTTTGATACCAAGTCAAGAATTGCGATTCCGATTCTTTTTCGATATTTTCTTAAAAAAAGGGAAACGGTCTTAAATGTAATTATTGTGCTTTATTTCACACCAGAACCATAACACAAACTTTTAAACAATGAGAACAATAAATAAAATAAATGACAAGAATTCGTATTAAATACAATTAATAAATGTCTTACAGACAGGCCTCGTGGTGTCCGTAGGCTTGCCCTCACTGTCAGAGATATAGCTAAAATACTTCCAAATTTCGCTTCTGGCGTCTTTTTTTGTCAACAAGCCGAGGCGCAGCGGCAGTTGCACTCCCACTTGCAGCCATGCTTCTCGTTTTCTCACATGCTCTGGCAGCTAGCGCGTGCACGAGAGAGGGGAGGCACTTAGAGCGTGCTTGAGAGGGGCGGGACTGCAGGCACGGCTGCAGTGCAGGGAGTGGAAGCAGAGCGCTGAACACACACGGCTCTTATTAAAACGGCGCTTTCTCACCGGAGTACTTTTCCCCGTCATTCTTAAAGTACCGATACTAATGAAACGGAGGAATCGTAACGTTTTTAACGGCAGGGTATCGCGGTACCTTTCAAGTATCGGTACACCGTGCCAACACTAGTCAGGGAGTCAGTGTCTCTCCCCCAAACTCACACATAAAATTCGATATGAACTGAAGAGCCGCATGAAACTAGGCAAAGAGCCGCATGTGGCTCGAGAGCCGCGGGTTGGCCACCCCTGGTCTAGCAGCTCTCAGCTCAAAGCATATTGCTGAGTTTATAGTGGGAGGTCCTGAAATTATTTGTGATAAGTGGTAAATATTTATTGCATGTATTTTCTGTTGTATTTTTGGAAGTGTGTGATGATTTCCTTATATGTACACTGCGAGCATTAAAAACAGACAAAAATCTTCAGAGGATATTCATAGTCAGAGACACAGAACAGCTTTAAACAGAGGTAAACAGAGTGTTTACCTGAGGATGTTGTTGTTGAACTTGTTGTAACTAGCCATTGAAATCATGGAGCCAAATGCTATTCCGATGGAGTTAAACACCTGGGCCGCTGCATTTACCCAAACCTTTGGTAAAGAGAAAGAGGAGCACGAGGATTAACTTCTGTGTAGTTTCATTTAATACTTTTAATAAAGTTCCTAGATAACAGTGTTTGAGGTGTTTCAAGAACAACTTGTTGTACAAGTCTGATTGCATATTTAGTTAAAAGGAATGTGCGTGAGGGATCCAAGATTGGAAATCATGCTTTCACCTCAGTAAGTATCAAGCTTAATTGTTCATGTTGTTTTGTAAGGGACAAGAAAGAGCACGTTATTCTCTGAATCTAGTTTTGCTTTGCTTACAATTTTATTCTGTCCCTGAAATCTTTAAAGCCAATTATTAATTTTCCAATAAATCCTGGGACATACTTAAGATGTTTATTGAGTTAATCTCTTTAACAAACTCTTCCCTCTCACACTTTCTGGCTCTGGAGGCTGTGGCTCAGTGGAAGTGTGCGCTGAATTTAGTGCGCTGAACTTTAAATCAGGGGATAGCCAGTTTGAGTCCCACTGCAGTCAGCATGTCGTTGTGTCCCTGGGCAAGACACTTCACCCCAAATTGCTCCTGTGGGGATTGTCCACAGTATTGAGTATGTAAGTCGCTTTGGATAAAAGCGTCTAACAAGAACATGTAATGTACTGTAATGTAGATAAGCTTGAGGCTTGAGAAAACTCAAGAAAAAAGCTTAATGGAATTCAATACAATTCCTCATTCTCTGACATACACAGTAAAGGTAAATATATATTTGATCCAACAAAGAATTATAATTAATTTAATTTGAAAACCAAAAGTTGTTTCAACAATGTGATGCCAATGTGTAACCAAAGTCTTTTTTTCACTCACTCATTAACAGAGTCTCACCTTCACTTCAAACAGTTTGTCCCAGACGGGTGTCACAAAGTAGAGGATGCCGTTCTTGGCTCCAGGAAGCTGCACATTGTTTATGAGCAGGGCAAACAGAATGAAGTACGGGAAAACAGCGGTGAAATACACGACCTGTGGGACCCAAACAGAAAGAAGCAGACATTGATGGATGTGTTGGTTTGTGTTGTGTAGGCGGCGTAGCAACAGTTAGTTACTGAGGCTCTTTTACACTGACACATTTGTATAGTTAAACACTTTTTAGAATAACAAGCATGTTATTTTCAATGAAATTCTGAAAACAAATAATGACTAAGCCTATGAACAACAGACTATGACCTATATCCCTTTAATCAGCATGAAAATGAACACCTTTCCTATAAACCTCAAAATTGCTGAATTATAATCATACATTGTGATAAAATATCAGAAGGACAGAAAGTTATCAAACAATTACAAATACAATTGACACAGGCACAACATTAGGAATAATTACCAATGTGCATGAGTAAATGTTCTGACCTTGCCTGTCGATTTGACTCCTTTAAATATGCACAAATACACAATGACCCAGGAAAGAATGAGATAGCCAAAGAGCTCCCAGCGCACGCCGCCACTTTCTTCAATGCCATTCGTTTTCTCCAAAAGTCTTTGACTGGAAGAGAAAGATGAGAATAATGGATAAATGTGAAAATACAAATAGAAAGTCATTCCCACATTGTATCCTAGAAGCCCCTGAAAACATAAATCTAAAAAAAGGTAAACTATAGTTCAAGTTAGGAAACCGTAACCCTTCATTAGGACTTAAGTGGCATACAAACCAAAAACTATCAATGAAATGTTGTTGCTAAATCCTGATTGGTGTAGAAACGTTAGCAATGTTTTTTCATCTAAGCACCACAAACTATACACCAGTGAAGAGCACAGACAAAAACAACTCATATTGCTCCACAGTAATACTATATTTAACAATATATTCAACTTTTGAAAGAACATCCATAACATTCATCTGGCTGCAATTTACAAATTATGTATCTAATATATCATATTCCAATTGTATATAGACTCTTATTGCACTATTTCACAATTTGTTTTGTATTTACTTGCACTATTTTTTCAGTTTTTCAGTTGTATTGTGTTGCACTGTTGGAGGAGCCTGTGACCTAAGATTTTCTTTGACATAACTACACTGTAGCTATGTGCATATGACAAATAAAAGCCTTGAACCTTGAACCTATGAATATAGTGAATTTATTAAAATGTCTGTAATAAGTCATCTCTGAGAAGCTTTTTTTCATATCCTTTTTGCTCAATTGCTATTATTACTCTACTTACTTTGCTGTTAGTACTTTTTAAAATAGATATTTCTCCGTATTGTTGTCAACAATTTTAAATGAATTCAGTCATTACTACATGTTACTGTATGTGGTCAGCCTGTGTGTTTGTCTTTGGGCATATGGACGGGTTTCCTTGTTTTATTCATGATTGACAACCAATAAAACGTTTTTTAGGGGCCCTCTATGAAAATCATCTAGAAACGGCTATTTCCTCCAGTGCATGTTAAAAAACAGCTTGAGTATTGCAATACATACTGTTAATATAATAATATATATTAAATAAGGTATATTTCTTACTCGAAGAACTGCTGGCTGGCAGACTGCAGGTGGCTGGTGTTGCCGGGGAAACCACTGGAACAGTTTTCGACAACGTTCCAGGTGTTGTTGCAGGAAGTCCAGGGCAGCGTCGCCTCGAACGAGTTGAAGAAATAAAACAGTGCCCAGCTCATGAGCACATTGTAGTAGGTGCAGAACACAAAGGAAATGACAACTGTGGCCAGACCAACACCTGCAGAGTGACACGTATGGAGGGGACACAAAGTGAGACACGACTCGGCAGAAATAAGAACAGATGTGGGGGAACATGTGTACACTTTACTTCCTAAAACTGCTATGCAATCTCTGCCATAGGGTGAATAATTTGGGTCAAGGGTTAAAGTTTTGGGTGCAGTCTACATCTCACGTAAGGATTGACAACAGAAAAGGGCATGTAGGCTACTGCAGGTTTATCTCTGGTTATGATGGCAAAGATGGAGTTAAGCAAACTCGAATAAAAGGGATTCCTGGAGCCATGGATTAGAAATTCCCTGGTGTAATTATGTGAGTATAACAGGCTCTTGATCAAATGGGTAAAAGTGGGATCAAAGTCCTGCAACAGATGTAAATGATTCAGTCTTTTAACACCTGTGGTTCTGAGCTGTGTGTCAGATTTCAGTTTGCTCTGTGTCTTTGTGTCTGTGTGTACACAGCTTTCAGAGCAATGACTCAGCTAAAGAGCCCGGCTTCTAGGGCCGGTAGAGGCTACTTATCTTGGTCAAAGAGATGTCAGTGGGCCGTGGACAGGTATAATTATCCTGAACCATTTTAAACACAGGAAAGGCATTGATTATCCTGTATAGGTCACTTTTTGATGTTTCTGTCAAACTTACATTTCTGGAAAAATAGCTATTTTTACGAAAACAACACTTTTTTTCTTGTATCAATAATTCTGATATTACCGATACTACTCTTCGCTGCGGATTAGTTTAGCTAAGACTCGAAAATGCCAGGTTTGTTGTTTTTCCAAAATATATGTGCACCTTTGAAATCTTGCTTGTCTACATTTTTTATCTCCTGGTCCTAGTAAAGAGAAAGTTGCACAAACCCTCTGGCAGAGGGAATGGTAATTTTGTTATTTCATGTTTAGGTTTGAGCCACTTGTTGTTTCCCCTGCAGACTTCATGCTAAGTTTATCTGGCTGCTAGCCGCGGATACAAATACAATTTGCTGGGATAAAGTGGCAAAGAACTTCTTATTTAACTCTCATCAAAAAGCGCATTTAGAAAATGTCAAACTATTAATTAATTAACTATTATTACTGTATCATGTTATCATGACCTTCATTGTTATCTTTGTCATTTGGAACTGCTAGGGATTTCCCCCTACTGATCTCAACACTGTCTAATGTTAAAATGTCTCTCTGTTTTCCAGCAGTATATAAAAACAATGTTTCTACAGGTTGTAGACTGGCATGCCATGCTCCACTGAATCCAGTGTCAATATTTAGTAAAATAGTAAGAGAGGCGGCTGAAAAACCACTCTGTGTCATCATAATGAAAGAACCAAAGGAAACCCCCTGAACTCTGGGATCAGCTACATCCACTGGGCATGGTTCATGTTAAGCGCTCCTTTCTTTGTTATTGCCTGTTGCCTATCTCACTTTAACATCCAGCTTTCATGGCTGACTGCTCCACTGGTATACCAGACACTCTCTAAGTGGTGAAGTCATTCAAAACTAAAATCAGTGTGCTGAACTCCAAAACAAGGCAGATATAAAAACAAATAGAGGTAATATGAAGGAGCTGTCCTCAATGAATATTACCCTGTCATTCCTCACCTGTCCACTAAATGCCCTCACTTAGTACTACCAAAGTTGAGTCAGGAAATGTAAACAACTTGTAATGCTGCGATCAGGCATACGGCAGTAAATAAGACATTTTTGCTGATTTGTGATAGATATTTCTGAGCATCTAAATCATGAATCACAGGTAAATCACAGCAAACTGCAGTGAGTTGCAAATGGAAATCAATTCAAAGAACATACAGGAAAAAAAACTACCTGCTTTTGGCCTCTGTTAAGCACAGAGCATTAACCAGGAAGAAATGAGCGATAAATCAAGTGAGGACCCAAACGTTTTGACCGGGTAGACAATCTCTGTCATTAAGGAGATAAGAAAACCATAGAGAAAATTTTGAGTTAGAACAAGATATACAGCATTTTCAATTTACACCCAAGTGTTGTTTGTTGATGGCTGGGCTCTTGTTTTACCTGTCCCTTCTCTCTGGGTCCACACATTTCACTTCATTCAAATGTTTGATTTAAAATGTTGCCTATACAACCGGGCGTGAATGATTTTAAACTTTTGATAGTAACAACTCTTCATTCTGATGCACATGATTTGCCCGACTATCCAAATTTGTTTCAAAAACGTATTCAATGACCCACATTTCATTTTCATTCAGATAAATCAATGTTCATTCAATGCCAGAGGATGTACAATTACAATTTGAAGATAAAGAAATAGACAAGGATTACAGCAGTGATTGAAATTTTCTCTAGACAAGTTCCCATCCATCAACATGTGAAAACAATTCATTTAACAGACAGAAAATATTCTAAAATAATAGAAAGCACTCCAAAGATGTAGCACTGCCCTCTACACTGATGACTTATAAAAACAACTGTTTTTGTATAAAAGGTTAGTCCGGATTTTTATCCAGATCTGCATTTAATATGAGATCAGTTTGGGATATATGCAGTACTCAAATTGAGGGGGGATGGCATCCCCCCTGAAATAAAAACGGTCAAAATCATCCCCCTTCTAAAACTGCCATTCCCCCTTTCCATCCCTTATTTAATTTTTATCAATGAACGTGGCACTGGTATTACTGCTATTTCAACATTAATTTTGCGCATTTTGAGTAAAATACTGTGGGCGAGGGAGCACACACACAAGTCACTGACGCTATACTATGCGAGTGCCCTAGAGGGCGCCAGAGCGCCGTGATGCGCCTGTTTGATCGATGCCAGAAGCGCAGGTAACCAGTGTTGCCAACTTGGCGATTTTCTCGTTAAATTTGGCGGATTTCCAAACCCTCTGGCGACTTATTTGTGTCAAAAGCGACTAACGACTAATCTAGCGATTTATAATGGTGTTATTAGCGACTTTTCTGGTGTTTGGAGACTCACATTGTTCTGCAGTTAACGAGCCGCGGGTGCTGCCGTGAGCCCCGCCTCCCTCCCATAGTACTCACAGGCGCTCAGACTGACAGTTGCCTGGCCGCAGCAGAGCTGCTGCTGCAGTCAGAGCAGAGAGGAGACAATATGGGCATAGATATGTCTCATAATTATTTGTGTGAACATAAAAATAATTTGTGTGTAAATATGTGATTTGTAAATGTAAAACAACATCCACAAATGCATTTAAAAGATTTGCAAACTCACAAATACATTTGCAAGTGTAAAACGGATCTGCAAATACGCTAAATATGTTCACAAATTAAAAAAAAGATCTGTGAATATCTCTTTAACATTTACACCTTTCGATCAGGCATTTGTGAATCCAATTTGTATTTGTGGACCAAAAATGCGCTTGCGGATCTCAAATCTCTGTTCACGGATCTCAAATCTCTGTTCGCGGATCGTCTTTTTACACACACGGAATTTTGAGACATATTTTCCGCCGGTCTCGGCTCAAATCTACTCGTGTCACTCGGTTATTTTCGTAAACCACGTGATGGCCGCTGATGGCGACATTTCCGTATGATTTCAAAGTAAGAGCATGATGGTTTGTTTAATGCTCTGTTTTTGTATTATAATGAACAGCGGAACGTTAGATGCATTCTATCGAGCACTTTCGTTGATGTTGAAGTGCAGGCTATACGCCACTTTCGGGTCCCGGGGGAGCAGCTCCGGGTGAGCAGCTGGTAGCGAAACAGCTGTCCCCCCGGGACCCGAAAGTGGCGTATAGCCTGCACTTCAACATCAACGAAAGTGCTCGATATATGCTATATTGAATCAATAACACAAACTAACTGTATCACTATAACATGATGATGATGGTGATGGTGATGAAGAATGCATCTAACGTTCCGCTGTTCATTATAATACAAAAACAGCATTAAACAAACCATCATGCTCTTACTTTGAAATCATGCGGAAATGTCGCCATCAGCGGCCATCACGTGGTTTCCGAAAATAACCGAGTGACACGAGTAGATTTGAGCCGAGACCGGCGGAAAATATGTCTCAAAATTCCGTGTGTGTAAAAAGACGATCCGCGAACAGAGATTTGAGATCCGTGAACAGAGATTTGAGATCCGCAAGCGCATTTTTGGTCCACAAATACAAATTGGATTCACAAATGCCTGATCGAAAGGTGTAAATGTTAAAGAGATATTCACAGATCTTTTTTTTTATTTGTGAACATATTTAGCCTATTTGCAGATCCGTTTTACACTTGCAAATGTGGTTGTGAGTTTGCAAATCTTTTAAATGCATTTGTGGATGTTGTTTTACATTTACAAATCACATATTTACACACAAATTATTTTTATGTTCACACAAATAATTATGAGACATATCTATGCCCATAAAACAACCACACTCCCCCGCGTCGAGACTGCAAATGAATTGCGCATGCGCCAACTGCCAAGCCGTCCTGGTTTTGAGCGGGATTTAAATGTTGAATGTAAATGTTTCTTCACTCACTTTCACACTATAATAAATAACTGCCTTTGCTTTGCTTTGCCTCACACAGCCTCAGTCACTCAATCACCTCGTCCACTGTGTGTGTGCCTCTCTGTGACAAGCTAAACATCATGGCACAGTCTAAATTGTATTCTCAAAAATATAGAAAGGAGTGGGAATCAAACCCTGAGTATAAAGGATGGTTGAAGCCATTTATTGGAGATGACACACGGGCATACTGCCTTTATTGTAAGGGAGATTTCTATGCCAAACTGTCATGTTAAAACCCCAAAACATACTCAAAAGACATTTCTGATCTACTGTCGTCTGGATTTAACTCCGGTGGTTTCAAGTTTTGATCCTTGAAGGGTTGGGAACGTTTTTTGCCTACAGCCGCCATTACATGATATGCAAATTAGGCGATGACGTCATTTAGCGACTTCTGGCGACTTTTCGGACAGCCAATAGCTACTTTCCTTACTATGGAGTTGGCAACACTGCAGGTAACGGTCATCACAATGGCCAAGGGACCAGGAGGACAACGTGATCTGAGGGACTTC